ATTTAGCCTAAGTATTGGCATTATGATTTCTAAAACCTCACTTATGAAAGGAATTAGTTTGTGTCTGTTCTCTGGTCACTTTCCCTCCCCTGCTTTTTGTTTTTATTTTTTTTTTTTTGAGATGGAGTCTCATTCTGTTTGTTGCCCAGGCTGGAGTGCAGTGGTGCAATCTTGGCTCACTGCAACCTCTGCCTCCCGGGTTCAAGCAATTCTCTTGCCTCAGCCTCCTGAGTTGCCGGGATTATAGGTGTGTACCATCATGCCCAGCTAATTTTTGTATTTTTAGTAGAGACAGGGTTTCACCTTTGTCAGGCTGGTCTCGAACTCCTGACCTCATGATCTGCCCGCCTCGGTCTCCAAAGTGCTGGGATTACAGGTGTGAGCCACCACACCTGGCCCAATTTCCTCCCTTTTAAAAGACGATGATCTGTTGAGAAGAACCAGCACAACCCACAAACTTTGTTTAAATTCCATAAGTACTAGTAACAAAACAATTTTACCAAATTATTATGATTCACTATGATCCTGTCATCCACTGAGGTATGATATCCAATTAGGCAATGTTAGTTCCTGAAAAACTGAAACACTCATCATTTTGGCAAATGAAAAGTAATTGCTGGATTCACTAGCCAGGGCACAGACAACATTCATATTGTCCTGAGAAATATCGAAGCTTTGAATTTTTAAATAAAAGTCTAAAAATGTCTTATGCTGAAACCATTATTGCCAACTAAGTGGTCCTGTGTACTGAATTCTTCTGACTCAAAAGAATTCCTATAGAATCCCACCACCCCCAACCCTGCACCTCATTCTTGTTTCTGTGAGGCTGGCAATCAGAAAGTGAATCACTAGTTAGGCTTAACTTTGAACAGATGATATGTTATTTGCAAACAAATTAGAGCTGAAAATTCTATTCTGAGTTTTGAAACAATTGTAGCAAGATTTTCCTGGAATATATTTGCAGTGACACTTGACAGAGAGAAGAAGGAGGATGTGGGTCTAGACAGCTAGGGAGAATTTCAGCTGTGATAAGGGTATCTAGAGCATCAAATTGCAGTGGAGAAATTCTGGAAGACCTGCTAGTGAGCAAAGTAAGGGACCAGCAGTAGGGGCTGATCTATTCCAGGGTTGACAGGAGGTGCCCTCTCGTCACTCACCTGAAGGAGAATGGTAGCAAATGAAGCATTTCAGAGCAGGAGAGTGCAGCTAACTCCTAGTGAAGTGACTTTCAGTTTAGTTTTGTTTTGTTGTAGCCAATCTCATTGTTATATGCAGTGTAATTCCCTGGGAAATAGCTGTAATTTCACTCACTTCTCCCCCTCTTGAAAAAGAGTATAGGAATGCAATTGAATGCGAGTATGCTATTATAGGATATTATACTTGAGATCCTTCTGTATGGTAAAGACAGGAATCCTACTTACATGAAGAAGGAAATTTATTGGATTCTGTACCTGAAAATTCAGGGCTAGTATGGGCTTTAGGCACAGCTAGATTCAGGGTTCAAAATGTATCACTAGGTCATGGTTTTCCTTCATTTTCAGCTCTGCCTTCCACAGAATGGTTTTAGCCTGTGGTTCTATGTGGAAGCAAGCTGACTACAGAAGTGCCAGATTCATATTGTCCACTGGGAAAGAGTGCCTGCCTGGAGGATGCCAGACTCTCACTGGCCAGACTGCCTCTGGGATGGGGATGGGGAAAACCCCATAACCACTAAGATTCAGTATAGGGATGGAGTAAATCACTAACTAAAAAGTGTCAAGTGTAACAAAGAATTTATGTAACAAGGAAAGCCTAAATGACCAGAGTGTTCATAAAATAGGGAAAACTTAATATCTGTTCATATTCAAATTCACTGCATTGAATATTGTATGCTTTGACACATTCCATAACTGAGGAGGTAGCAGTGTGTGTTCACCAAGGTTGAGAGGATGGGCAACATTGGGCTGGTAGAAAGGAATCTAGAACTACGCTTTAGGGTTGCTGAGTAATAATCTTGTTTGACCCCTAAGTTTCTCATGTGATTCTGAGTAATTCATCTCACCTGTCGGGTTCTCAGCATTTTTTTTTTTTTTTCATCTGTTAAACAGAATTGCCTGTGTTACTTATCTTACTGGGTTACTCTGTAGCTGAAATCAAATAAAACATTTTGCAAGGCAAGGCCTATAGTTTTATTAATTTATCATGAAATGTATTTCCATATAGATGTTACATACTTTGTTTCAATAAAGGATGATGAGGCAAATCCATCTAGTGATTTTTAACTTCTGAGTATTGTGCAGTTCTTGAATTCCTGACTGCAAAACTGAAGCAAGTTTCTTTTACTGGTTCTAACAAGTGAGTCCAAAATTTAATCAGATATTCATTTACTGATCTTTTACTAAAAAAGAACATTTGAGGAATTAGTACAAGACCTGAGATTAAGGTAATCCATTGACAGATTTTCTTTCATTCTTATTCATTTGATCTGGAAGTGTGTCTGAGCAACTATAATGTGATGAACAATATAGATGCGGTCCTGCATTCATGGAGCTTAGAGTCAAAGTAGCATTACAATATTAAACTAAGCTGGGTGAGGTGACATATATCAGCTACTCAGGAGGATGAAGCAGAAGGATTGCTTGAGCCCAGGAGTTCAATGCTGTAGTGTGTAATGATCACGTCTATGAATAACCCCTGTACTTCAGCCTGGGCAATATAGCAAGACATTGTGTCTGAAAATATATTTATTAAACTAACAATCAGATGAATTAATATATAATTACAGACTGACAAAAGCTATAAGACATTCTAATGGGAACTTTCATTTTGACTGAGAGAAGCCTCTCTGGTGACGTGACAGATAATCTGAAACCCAAATGATGAGTAGACTTAATCATTAGGAAATTGTGATGGTGAGGGAGAGGAATCGAAATCAGAAATGCTCCAAACAAAGTAAAATACTGGTGAAGATGTTCCATATTGGATGCCTGTTGTTTTTGTTCACTCAGCCTCCCTGTCCCCATTCTTTTTGTAATCTAAATTCTTTTAGTTTAGGCAGACACATGACCAAGGCCTGACTGCAGTACTCTTTTCTCCAGGATATTGATCAGTTCAGGGATGGACACTTGTTTTAACCTAGACAGACAAAGCATTGTTCTCTGGAGACTTTCTTGTATAATATCAAAAAACTGAATCATTTAGCTATATTATTAAGCTAAGAATGTGTAATGGTGTGAGAGTCAGCCAACTGTACAGTTAGAGGGAGCATAGTCTACACAAGACACTCTGCTTCCAACATCAACAGCAAGCTCAGGAGGTTCCCAAACATACCCTCAGTTTTGATAATTCACTGGAAGAATTCACAGAGCTCACAGAAAGCTGCTGTACTCATGGTTACAGTTGGCTGCATAGAAAGAATACAGGTTAAATGCAGGCCAAGGAAGAGACACATGGGCCTGGAAGTAAAGCAGTATCATTGTCTAGGGCAATTCCCAGGGTTCATTGTCTCATGCCAAGAAGATTAAGGACATGGACACACACACAGGGAGTAAATTTAGGTTTAACAGACAAAGGAAAGAGAAAGAACAGTTCTCTCTCTCTCTCTTTGACTCTAAGCTCTATGAATACAGGACCACATCTATATTGTTCATCATATTTATTATAGGTGCTCAGACACACTTCTCTGAGAGAGAGAGAGAGAGAGAGAGAAAGTGCCTGAAAGGGAAATCCAGCCCATAGTAGGGCATTGGTTTTCATAGGCAGGCTTGACGAGGTGGTGTCTGATTTATGTAGGGCCCACAGATTGGTTGGACCAGGTGTGATGTTTACATAGAGGATGGAGAAGGCTGGCCGCCCCACCCTAATCTGATTATGCAAATGGGCTCTTGACTTGGCTGGCACCATGTTGTCTGCTCCTTACTGCACACCTATGTGGCAAAGGGAAGAGAAGATGGAGCCACCATTTTGAACATGCCTAGTCCCAGGTAGGCTTTTCCTATTGGCACAGCTGCTGGCATTCACCCGTGCAAGCTTCTAGCTTGCTTTTCTATGTCTGGAGTTCAATTTTGCACGCTGCTCTTTGTTACAAAAGAAATGATTTGGGGGCTGCTTTTCATTAAAAGAAAAACCTTACTGAGAACTTCCTTACCCTCACTATCTGCCTAAATAATTTCTTTTTATTTCCTGTATCAGAGGTGCCAGATGTGGAGCTTCCAGTTGTCCTCTTCCCATGGAGTCAGGACAGCATTTTTGTCCTGGCATCATTGTGTGACAGTATGCAGAGTATTGCCACACAGAAAATTCCCTAAAGCCTCAGGGCCCAGAGATTTACCTGGGCTCCATACAGGCATCACTGATTACCCACGTGGCTGATTTCAGTCTCCAGTACTTGAAATCCCAACCTTAACTAACCTTAGTAATGTGGCTCAAAGCCATAATCAGAAAGCCCTAAATCACATTGTTACTATCTGGCTGGCCCAAGGCTCCCAGGCAAACAGACACTCTTCTCAGTCATGACATTCCAAGGACCTAGAGATTACCTCCCAGAAACCAAGAGCAAAGGCCAGACCACTCTTTGAGTAAGGTTAATTCCTTGTTCATAAACAGACACCTCTGACAGTGAATATTCTGCCTCCATAATGACAGTCTGAAATAAAGAAGGAATTAAGTCAAAGATAAGCAGAGGTAAAAGATGAGACAACAGAGCAATAAGGTTATAATCTGAGTTCCCCAAACCAGCCACATCTGAAGCCAGCTGCCTCCTAGCTTCCTCACTTGCATGCACTACCATATTCCCTTTTTCGCTTAAGTTTGATTGAGTTTATATTTGCCCTTCAAGTTAGAGGTAGGAGAGAGCGTTTTCATTTCAAAGATTTGAAAGAAAGGCCAGGTGCTGTGGCTCACGCTTGTAATCCCAGCACTTTGGGAGGCCGAGGTGGGAGGATCACCTGAGATCAGGAGTTTGAGACCAACCTGGCCAACATGGTAAAACCTCAACTCTATTTAAAAAACAAACTGATTGCAGTACATTGAGCTCCATAGAGACAGCGCCGGGGCAAGTGAGAGCCAGACAGGCACGGGGAGACTCTGTGCCTTGCTGAGGAAAAATAACTAAACATGGGCAAAGGAGATCCTAAGAAGCCGAGAGGCAAAATGTCATCTTGGGAAGAGCATAAGAAGAAGCACCCAGATGCTTCAGTCAACTTCTCAGAGTTTTCTAAGAAGTGCTCAGAGAGGTGGAAGACCATATCTGCTAAAGAGAAAGGAAAATTTGAAGATATTGCAAAGGTGGACAAGGCCTGTTATGAGAGAGAAATGAAAACCTATATTCCTCCTAAAGGGGAGACAAAAAAGAAGTTTAAGGATCCCAATGCACCCAAGAGGCCTCCTTTGGCCTTTTTCCTGTTCTGCTCTGAGTATTGCTCAAAAATCAAAGGAGAACATCCTGGCCTGTCCATTGGTGATGTTGCGAAGAAACTGGGAGAGACGTGGAATGACACTGCTGCAGATGACAACCAGGCTTATGAAAAGAAGGTTGTGAAGCTGAAGGAAAAATATGAAAAGGATATTGCTGCCTATCAAGCTAAAGGAAAGCCTGATGCAGCGAAAAGGGGAGTTGTCAAGGCTGAAAAAAGCACGAAAAAGAAGGAAGAGGAGGAAGATGAGGAAGGTGAAGAGGACGAGGAGGAAAAGGAAGAAGAAGGTGATGATGAATAAGTTGGTTCTGGCGCAGTTTTATTTTTCTTATCTATAAAGCATTTAACCCCCCTGTACACAACTCACTTCTTTTAAATAAAAAAATTGAAATGTAAGGCTGTGTAAGATTTGTTTTTAAGCTGTACAGTGTCTTTTTTTTGTATAGTTAACGCACTACCAAATGTGTCTTTAGATAGCCCTGTCCTGGTGATATTTTCAGTAGCCACTAACCTTGCCTGGTACAGTATGGGGGTTGTAGATTGGCACGGAAATTAAAGCAGGTTCTTGGTGCACAGCACAAATTAGTGGTATATGGGGATGGTAGTTTTTTCATCTTCAGTTGTCTTTGATGCAGCTTATACGAAATAATTGTTGTTCTGTTAACTGAATAACACTCTGTAATTGCAAAAAAAAAAAAAAAAGTTGCAGCTGTTTTGTTGACATTTCGAATGCTTCTAAGTAAATACAATTTTTTTATTAGTATTGTTGTCCTTTTCATAGGTCTGAAATTTTTCTTCTTGAAGGGAGCTAGTCTTTCGCTTTTGCCCATTTTGAATCACATGAATTATTACGGTGTTTATCCTTTCACACAGTTAGCTAATAAAAAGCTTTTGCCTACACACCCTGTATATCATAATGGGGATAAAGTTAAGTTGCGATGGTTTTCATCCATAACTAAAAATCCAAAATCTTGATCAGTTAAGAAATTTCACATAGCCTACTTATATTTACAAACTGAAGAGTAATCGATCTACTCACAGCATGGGATTATTAAAAATCAATCATTTTTAAGGTCTGTCCTTGAAGGACTAATAAAAAAGTATGTTCTAACCTTTACATGAGGACTCTATTATTTAACTCCCATTACCATGTAATGGCAGTTATATTTTGCAGTTCCCACATTAAAGAAGACCTAAGAATGTATCCCCAAAAGGGTGAGCTTAAAATACAAGACTGCCATATTAAATTTTTTGTTGACATTAGTCTCAGTGAAGACTGAAAAGGCTGGCTATAGATGTGTTTTCCCATTTACCTAAATATGGACTGCTCAAGAAATGAGACTTTCCATTAAAAGTATTTTTAATTCATTGGGCCAGCTTTCAAAACAAGATGCCACATCCAAAATAGAGAATATTTTCCTACATTATGGTTTGCCTCTTTATAAATCCAAGTAGATAGGAGAAAAGAAGACACTTAAACTTTGCATCTCAGTATGAATTATTCAATTTATTTGGATGATTTTTCTTTAAAACCCAAACTCATTCATTAGTCATGTTTATCTGCTTACCAGTTTAGTGAACAATTTGGCAATTTTGTGGTTTTTGAGATTATCTTTCTCTTAAAGTGCCAGTATTTTAAAATAGCATTCTTGTAATTTTACACACTTTTGTGATGTAGTGCTGTTTTGTTATGTAATTTTGACGTGGATTCTTTCCATTTGCATATTTTTATGTAATTTCAGGAGGAATACTGAACATCTGAGTCCTGGATGATACTAATAAACTAATAATTGCAGAGGTTTAAAAAAAAAAATACCAAAATTAGCTGGGCGTGGTAGCACACGGCTGTAATCCCAGCTACTCCAGAGGCTGAGGCAGGAGAATCGCTTGAACCCAGGAGGTGGATGTTGCAGTGAGTCAAGATTGTGCCACTGCACTCCAGCCTGGGTGACAAGAGCAAAACCCCATCTCAANAAAAAAAAAAAAAAAAAAAGATTTGAAAGAAAAACGAATATAGTGAGCAAACAAAAGTGAGTGGTAGCTAAAACTAAAGACATAGGAAGGGGCAAGATCATGTGAGGGTATAACGGTAATATTAATAATTAGGCATTACCCTAAGTGAATTAATGCAGGAATAGAAAACCAAATATCTCACTCATCAGTAGTAGCCAAACACTGACACACAAAAAAAGAGAACAAGAGACACTGGGGTCTGTTTGAGGGTGGAAGGTCGGGAGAGGGTGAGGTTTGAAAAGCTACCTTGGATAGCTATGCTGATTACCTGGGTGACAAAATTACGTGTACACCGAACACGGGTGACATGCATTTTACTCATGTAACCTGAAAATATACCCCTTGAACAGAAAGTAGAAGTTGGAAAAACGAAAAAAATAAAGAATAAGGGAATTTGTCCTAAGTGCAGTGGGAATCTTCTGAAGGATTTTTAAAGCCGAGCAACATTATCTGACGTACATTTTTAAACATATATATAGAGAGTGGGTGGGACTATGGAGAAGAGTGTAAATGAGAAGAGTATTCACATTTAAGAAAATTTCGGAAGTAAATTGGCAGGGTATGATGTTGTACTGTCATGGATGGCGACTTTCTCCAGCAAGTGTCAAAAATTAGCCTCAGATTTATAGCCAGTGGATGAATGTAAGTAGCATTTTTTGAGTTGAGAAAATGGAGGAATTAGGTTGTAGATTAGTTTTGGATATGATAAGTTTAAAATGCCTGTGAGTCATTCAAGTAAGAGGTTGGTTTCAAGGATGCAAGAGAGAAAGTATGTCAGAAAGGAGGGAGTGGTCAGCTGTGTTAAATCTTTCTGAGAGTTAAGATAAGAGCCAAAAGGTGTCTACTAGCTCTGGAAACGTGACAGCTTTTGAAGACCTCGAATAAGAGCAGTGGCAAAGAAGCCACGTGAATTGGGGTAACAAGTGAATGAGAGGCAAAGCAATTAAGACTGCACATAAATGACATTCTTAATAAGATTTCTATGAAAGAGAGTAAAGAGAAAACTGGACATGGGTGTGAATGAAGTCTATGGAAGGTTTGTTTTTAAGCTGAGAAATTCTTGGTCACGTCTGAATGCAGATAGATAGATAATGATAGAAATATGGAAGATGTAGAGGAAAGAAAAATAACGCACTAGTCAGGGTAATGATAACTGCTATAACCAAAGGACTCTGCAATATATAATAGGTCAAATACGACAGAAATTTATTTCGCACTCACATAAAGTTCAAAACAGACCTTCTTTTCTTTCTTTCTGTTCTTTTCTTTCTTTCAAGACAAGTCAAGGGCAGCAGTAAGAAGTGGGGAAAGAGTAGAATGAGGAGCTTGATCTGTAACTGGCTGTGAATAATTAATTGAGATAAGTCACTACCTTCTGACCAATCCTAAATAGACGCTGTTAATGGCAGTTGGTTCTTCTCTAAATGGTGATACTGAAACCCAGGCTCCATCCATCTTGTGGAGGTCCCATCCTTAATACTCGGTTTTCAAATTTGCTGTGCCCCTGTGCATCGAGTGGCAGAAGGTGTTACAGTAGGTAGCTAGGTAGGAATGAGTGGGGCAGGAGAGGGTTCCCCCAACACCTCTACTGGGAAGGTCAGGTGACCATCAGGTGATGCTCAGGCAGTTGTTAACTGTCTCTCTAAAATAATACTTGGTCACGGCCAGCACCAGGAAAAGGCAGTCTCTCTACAGAGAGAAGAAACACCTGGTAATCAGCAGCTGTCAAGAGTTGGGCTAGTGAACCCATTAAGAGACAAAATGGCAGAATATGACCTTCCGGGGGCATTCCACTGCAAAAGGGAAGAAAGCCTCAGGTGAGCATGTACACAACTTAAAAACACACTGTGCATACTCACCTCCCAAGCACAAGGACGCCACTGCACATACAGGTGGATTGCCCTAAGGGAATAATCAAAGAAAAGTGCAATATGCCAGAAATATGCCAGCATATAAAATTCCAAGTCAAAAGGTCAAACACCATACTTGTCCTTCAAGCTGCCCGCTTGGGTCTCTTCCAACTGTACTTTCCTTTTATTCCCACTCTAAAACCTTTTAATAAACTTCCACTCCTGTTCTGAAACTTGCCTCCATCTCTTTTTCTGCCTTATGGCCCTCAGTCAAATCCTTCTGAGGAGGCAAAAATTGAGGTTGCTGCAGACCCATAAGGATTTGCCACTGGTAACCCAGATATTTGCTGCCCCTAAGAAAGAGAAGAAGCATTCTTGCTTTTGAAGCTACCTGGTCAAGGAGTGATCTGTGCCACTTCTAATCTTATTGTATTGAGAAGAATTAGTCATATGGTTCCACCTAAAGGCAAGGGAGGTTGGGGAATGTATTTTCCGGTTGGGCAGCCGCTACTTCCCAGCAACAACTTTATACCATGAAAGAAGCTTAGATTTTAGAGGACAATGATTTCTGCAACAGGTAGTAAATAACCAGTTAGAAACATTCTCTGAGAAGGCAGAGCAGAATGGAATCCAGAACATACATGGAAGAATTTGCCTTTGGTAAGAGGAGGGACAAACCCTCCATTGAAAGAGAAGGAAGGAGAAGTAAATGGGGGTTTGTATTTTTCTCACTTACAGTGAGTGCCAATTGGAGGAACAGCAAAAAGATTATAGGAGTTGTAACAAAAACAAAAACAAAAACAAAAAATAAATAAAAAGAAAAAAAAAGAGAAAAAAAAAGAAACCAAGTGTGCCCAAATTTGGGACCCTAGTCTACTATACAGAATTTGGCTGAGGAATGAGGACTGTTGGTTGTCTACTTTAGCAAGAATGTTTACTAACAGGATTGAATTAAAAGGAATACACAGATAGGATAAACCATGCCTGAAGAAAGTTGAGATTTATTCTTTTGGGGGCTACTTCACACTATTTCTGACCTCTGTCATGATGACCTAAAGAAAAACTCAGAGAATGAGGTTTTGTCTCAAAATGAAATCACCTTAAAGGCAGTGCCAAAGGCCTTGCCCTCCCTCAAATAGAATAGCATAAAAAACACTAAAAACCTTGTTAAAAGTAACCTGGGGGGAGAGGTCAAAAGATAAACCATAAGTTGTTCTCTACTTGTAGAAGCCAGGAGAAAGCTGACCACGAGCTGGGTCAGGTTAGCCAGCTCTGATACCGCAACTGGTGGTGAAGTCAGCAGCACAAATTCAAAAAGCCTTGCTGTGCTAAGCTTCACTATCTTGGCTCTCACACAAGAAAGGGAACTTGTGACCGAAAGGGACACTCCAAAAAGAATTTCAATGAAGTACAACTTGAACAAAAACAATAAGTTGCCCAGATTTCTTGGATCACGGAGAGAGGGCCTGGCATGTGGAATGAATGCCATCAGCAGAGAACACAGCCTTGATTGGTAGCTATGGAGCCCACTGCCCACGTGGTGTCCCCAGGCTGGCTTCCTGGTGAATGCTTTTTAGTGAATGCCAATCCACTCCCCCTGCTCCTTCTTGCTGTTTTTTCCTCCCTCCAAATGATTCCCATAGAAATTTTTCCCACCCTAGACACCGTGATAAATATTCTTCACTAACATGTCATCATAGTTTGGCTTTGTAAAAAATTTTCCTTCGGGAATGCAGAGCAACATTGATGGTAGGAATGTAAAATGGTTCAACCCTTTGGAGAATCATTTAGCAGTTTCTCACAATGATAAACATATATCTACCCTATGACTCAACAGTTCCACTCCCGGGTATTTATCCAAGAGCAGTGAAAATAT